GCCAAGTGACTTAACCATTTCTGACTCAGTGCTTTTTAACTGCCGTTTCCCACATGAAATATTCAGTGAGGAACGCAGAGAACTTTGATCCATAATGAGGATTGAAGTTTGACAGATGTCAGTCATTCTGATGCTGTTATTTGGGGGGTATCTCTCCCCTCTAAAGTTTAATTACTTACTATCATGTCTGTTTTTGTCGATCTCATTTTGCATTTAATGACTAAATCTTAAAATACCGATTTTTGATCACTTTGCTTTTCTTAAGTGCCTCAAAGAGCACCTTCTTTCAAGTCTATGTGCTTAAGGGAGGCACTGATGTGGACTTGCTATCATGGTTGTTTTCCCTAGCAGTGATGTGATCAAGTTGATCAGAAATTCTCTTGCTTGAGAGATTTTTCTGTTGTTGTTCTTTGTCAACTACATGGTTTCCAATCCCTTTATTTCCCAGCAATATGCCAATTGCTTTTGAACAGAGTAAATTTTTAGTTTTCTGCATTAGCTTAAAGTGCATTATTTTGTTTTCTTTTCCTGTTTGAGCTGCTGCTTACTTGCCATTTCTCACAGAGGGGAAGAAATGCCTAGTTGCTTCCATCACTATCCTTGTTGCTTCTGTGCTAGTGGAGTGTATGATGAGAGGATCAATTTTAGTGCTGAGAATGTAAATGAACTTCAGGATACCTATGTTAGTCACCCCAGGTTCTTATGACTTTGCTGCCACAGTTGATAATTCTCCTCCCAAACCTGTTGTCCTGAGGAATATATAAAATATTGTTGATATTTCTAGGTGGTGTTATCAAGGAGAAGAAATTCCTGCCTTGACCAGATGTGTGGAGCATCTACAAATGAATGAATAATGTATTTGCATACAAAGCAAGTGGTCCTTGGAGCTGTCAGTGTCTCCGGTGGTATTATGAGGCCTTAGGTGCCTTGGGGTACATTGTCGTGCTGTAAGGGATGTATATCCTAAGGTAGTGTGGAAAAAGGAGGCTTTATGTGTGTGATAGCCACATACTATTTCAGTTGCTGCTTTTTTCTGATTTCTTTGTGTCATTGGATTTGTTTGTTTTGTCATGTGGTGACTGGTGTTTTGGCTATTGTGTTGCTTCCAGAGTCGGAATCCAGTTTGTGTACATACTGCCTTATAGTAAAGGCAGTTAAATCTCTATGAGAAAGCTTTTAGGAGCTGAAAAAGTCAATGTTATTGTGTATTCTGCTTTTAAGAAGCTGTTTGAGCTATAAAAACTGTACCTACTAGTAAGTACGAGGTACCATGTTATTTAATTTTTACAAAAGGAAATGTGTGGCTGAGCTATTTAGGAAATCTGAGTGTACTCTCTTGTTATGTTATTTATGAATTATACCATGTAAAATGTCGTGTTCTTTTCATCTTCAGACATTGTGGTTGGATTGTCTCTGTCTAATATGCACATTGCCTGCTAGGATCATGCTATTCCATTTTTTAAATGAATGTAAGAAACAAAAACTACTGCACTTGTGTCTTTTGAAGGCAAAGATCCTTGGATTTTAAAGGAAGATGGTGTGCTTTGAAGGCACCCCCAGACTAGCAATAGCAGATTGCTATCGAAGGGAAACCTGTTTTCTTCCAATTATTAGAGAACTTCACTTAGCTTGCAGTAGTTCTATTAAAGAATTAGATGTGTCCTTTATTTTAAATTGTAATCACTGCCATCACAGCCACTAAGAGCTTTTGTTCCTGTGTTGCTTTCGCCTATGCAAAGGCCAAAAACCCTTCGAAACTAATGCCACTGTCCCCTTGTGTGCCATCTTAAAGACAAATCTCTTTGATGGTACTCGGTATATCTATTCTGTTTGTAAAAGAACCATGTTAAGATGTTTTTGCTCCTATAATGATAATGGTTTTGTCTTTCAGGAGATTTGTCCACCTTCACTCTACTGTCTTCTTTGCCTTAAAGGGACACTCTTGGGTTCAAATGTAGGAATGTTAGGAGAGAACCTTTGAAATGTGATGATATTTAAATATATTTTTTGAAATCCAGTGGTGGGCTAGAGCAGGAAATTGAAATTATTCCAGTGGTATGAGAACTGAGAGGCAAGATGATTCATTTTAAGGTTCATTTTCAGTTTTTATTCTTTAAATGGACTGAAACATTAGGTTTGTGCAGGGATTGTTTTGAAATTAATAAAAGACAGACATATGCTAGCCCACAGATGAGCTTTCTTGACAGTACCCCTTTATTTTTATATAAAGTCTAATATTTGAAAAGTGGTTATTGTTATAAAGTAAAATTCCCTCTTCCTATTCTAATACTATATCATATATTTCAAGCTTCTATTTGAAAACAAGTACAAGAAGTTGTAAGATAATCCTACAGATACTGTTTGACTTATAATCACTGTTTCATGACAACTGCTTTTGGAATAATAGAATAATAATAGAAAGTTTTGTGAAATGCTGGCCTTGCATATATCTTAGAATGCAAATTTAATAAAGTGTGTACATGCATAAAATATAGTGTTTTAAAAGTCTATCTCTTTTATTCTTCTTGATAATTGTTTTCTGCTCCATATTCCAAAAGTCCATTCTCTGTATCTAATGTCAAGTCAAGTTTTGTGTTAAAAGGTATCAAGAACACAAAGAAATGATAGCTATATTGAAGTTGGGGCTGTTTTCCCAAACAAAGAAAAACCTCCACACATAATCTGTCAAAAATTCAAGAGTGTTTTGTGGAATTTGACAATTTAGAAGGTTCTTGCCAGGGTCACACATATTTTTTACTTGTTTTCAATTTCTCTTTTTATGTTTTTTACATATTTATAAGTCTTTAAATTATTTTTTGAACAAGACAGGGAGATATGTAAATAGGCAAAAATAAAGCCTTTCATTCCTGACTTGGGTCATAAACCCTTGATTTTATTTTCAGTTTTTAAAAAGTCAATGGATTACTTTATTTAAAAAAAACTTTACATTTTGAAATAATTTCATATTTGTAAAAATCTTACGATCGCCCAAAGAAATTCCATATATCCTTCTCCCAGCTGCCCCCATTGTTAACATTCAACCACATTTGCTTTATCATTTTGTGTGTGTGTGTGTGTGTCTGTGTATACCATCCAAGAATAAATTGCAAACATGAGACTTCATTACCCATAAATGCTTCAGTGTAAATTTCCTAAAGACAACGACATTCTGCATAAACCATATTAGAACCATCAAAATCAGGAACTTAATGTTGATGCAAAATTGCCATCAAATCTGCAGACCCATTCCAATTTTGCCTGTTCCCAATAATCCTTTTTTTAGCAGAAGGAAAAGAATAAACAATTTTTTTTCTTGGCCAGGATTTAATCTAGACTTCTGTTACACTTGGTCATTATGTGTCCTTAGTGTCCCCCAATCTGGAAGTCCCTCAGTCTTTCCCTGTCTTTTATCAACTTTAAATTTTTGAAAAGTACTGGTCAGTTATTTTGTAAAATATTCCTTGGTTTGGGTTTAACTGTTGTTTCCTCATGATTAAATTTAGGTTTTGCATTTTGGAAAGAAATACCATGGAAGTGATGCCGTGTTCTCAATGTATCATTTTAGGATGTACGTGGTGTTATTTTGTCCCGTTAGTAGCTGTTCACCTTGATCCTTTGGTTAAGGAGGTGTCTACCATGTTTCTGCACTGTACAATTATGTATTTTGTAATTCCATTTACTGATAGTGAGAAACCTGGTTCCTTTTATCCTCAATGTAATTCCTCCTCTATTCTATATGTCACCAATTTCCTACCTGGCCAGCCACCACTCAGACTGCCTCCTTGGCCCAACCATCTCCTTGGATCTGACCCTGTTGCCCTACTGCCCTGGCTGCCTCTAAGGAAGGAAGGGAAAAAGGGATAAGGTCTAAATTACTCATTTTAAATATTCTTACTTCACACCCATTTCAACCTCTACCTCTAAGCTCCTTTTCTTCTGTTTGATTACAGCTCAAGAATTTCTTATATGCATTAATTTAATGAATATTTATTGAGCTCTGTGCTGGGAAGTGTAAATGCAGAGTAAGTTCATGCCTTCAGGGAGACCAGAATGGTAGAATAAATGGAATTACACTGACCATTCGAGGCTCTGATGAGACCATATTGGGAGCACAGAGTGAGAACATGGTCTGGGATACTGGGATGTTTCCCAGAAAAGGGACCACTGAAGCTGAATTGTGAAGAACATACTTGAGTGGATGTAGGAATCAGGTAGAGGGAAATACGATACAGGCAAGAAGAGACCAAGGCACTATTAAAAGAAATTCCAGTAATTTGGTAATAGGAGAAATGAGGCTGGAAAGGGAAACAGAGGCCCTGTGGTCTTTGAGGATTGGAAGTCTAACTTAAGTGGGTGGAAGCCCTGGGTGTAGACTTAAGCAGGGAGTAAGTGAGGGGTGGAAATTCTAATAAGCATCAACATTTAGGAGTCAGGTTGAAGAACAGATGGTAGCAAGAGAGGTGGGAGGAAAATCTACAGAATATCACTAGATGAAGTGAAGCTAAGGAGGGAGTGGTCTACCAGTTCAGTTAGATGTAAATTGAAAATTTCTCGATGGATCTGATGATTAGGTCCCTGAGAGACTCAGTGTATTTCTAGTGGGTGAATTGAATTGCAGTGGCTTGAATAAACAGGGGTTCAGGATATTTATGTCATTAGCATATGTAGTCTATGTCCAACATCTTCTAACCTCCTTCACCTTTTTTCCCAATACTTGTTCCATTACAGTACAAATTCCTGTTTTTTTTCTTGCACCTTCAGTGGCTAGTGCTGTATCTGAAATGGAATAGTTACTCAATAAAATTTTGTTAAAGAATAACCCACACTCTAACCCATAGGGGGAGCTGAAAGAAAATCCCTCCAACCTATAATGGAAGTTGAAAGAGTGTCACTCGAACCTATAGAAGGAGCTGAAAGAAAATTACAAGGGAATGTTAACCTATAGGAGAAGCTGAAAGAAAATCTCCCGGGAAGTATTAACCACACGCTCTAACCTCTAGGAGGAGCATCAAGCCGCGTCTTCCAGACATTCCTGAGGAAAACTTGCATGAGGAGTTTTCGTCAAGGAGTTCCACCCCTAGGTAATATTTATTATTATATACCTAATACTTACCTTCTATCTGGGGCACGTGATATTAGCTTTCCATTTATGATAGTGATATGAAGTTATCTATTAAAATAAATTTAGCAGATAACTCTTTTAAATACATATATTTAAAAAACAGACATAGCAAAGAAAAAGTTGAAGCATCTTAAATGAACAGTGAGTGACAGATATGGCCAAAATCTTAGAAGTAAAATACATGTACGAACTTCGATTGAGGGAAATACTGGAGCCACACTGGTGTATGGAACTGTTGTGAAGAAATGAAAAGCTGTTGAATCTATGTGGAATGCTCTTTTGGGGCTCCTCTTTAGAGTCTCTCTTTTTGAGATTCTGCTCTTTCCATCTATGAAGTGTGATAAGAGAGGTATCTTTAGCTTCTCAAAAGACGCCTGCTCTTGTTTTCAAAGACAAGAGGGAACTTGGGTGGGGCTCAAGGAAAAGGGGCCTAAGGAGTCTGTCAGGCCTGGTTTGCTTACTTATATCTCTGATGAAAGGAGAGCTAAGGTCAGAACATATCCCTTAGAGAAAGAAGCTTCTAGTCGTGTCTCTGAGGCTTCGACGCAAAAGGAATTTGTATCCAGCTCCCCTAGTTACTACACTGAAATTTGGAGTGACAGCTCAGTGAGGTGTTTATTTGTGGGAATCTGTACTGTAGGCGCTTATCTCCCTCCAGAACCTGTGGGGTCAGGATTGGAGGAGGAACTTTGGTTATGGGTGGAGGGTTAAGAATTTTAGGATTTGTAATCCTGACCATGTGTGTTTCCTCCTCAGAGACAAAATTAACATTCCATAGTGTTTTCAACTTATTTTCCTTTTTCTCAAGAGTTTTTTTCTTTATTCATTTTTAAATTATGAAAATGAATTAGATTATGAATATGGAGAAAAGCTCATTATAAAAAGTTCAAACCTCATAGATATATTCAAGGTAAAAAGGGAACAGCTCCGCTAACCACCTTCTCGTGTTATATTATAGTTTGATTTGTGTAACTTATTATCTTTTTCTGTACATATTGAAACATAATTATAATAGATGCACATGCACATTTTAAAACTTTTTTGTACCGGGGATTAAACCCAGGGGAGCTTCACCACTGAGCCACATCTCCAGTGCTTTTTAAAAAATATTTTATTTAGAGACAGGATCTTGCTAAGTTACTTAGGGCCTCACTGAGTTGCTGAGGCTGGCTTTCAACTCACAATCTTCCTGCCTCAGCCTTCTGAACCATTGGGGTTACAGGTATGTGCCACTTCACTTGATATAAACATTTTTGGAGTGTAACATACATACAAAAAAAAATATACAGCTTGAACTAATCACAAATTGGATGTTATATGGAATGTTCTGTGTGACGTAGGTAATGGTTACATGGGTTTATTCAATTTGTGATCATTCTTAGAGAGTGAATGGCTTGGAAATGGGATTGGGGGGTGCTTAAAGAGTTCTAGAATGGGCTGGGGATGTGGCTCAAGTGGTAGCACACTTGCCTAGCATGTGTGAGGCACTGGGTTCGATTCTCAGCACCACATAAAAATAAAATAAAGATATCGTGTCCACCTAAAACTAAAAAATAAATATTAAAAATATATTTAAAAAAGAAAGAGTTCTAGAATGTACTATGTAGACCTGGGACATGTTCAAATAGGTTTATCCAACTTGCAATCTTTCTTGGCAAATGACTGGAAGTGAACATTAGGGGGCGCTTAAAGAGTTCTGGAATGTTCTGTATAGACCTAGATGATGGTTAAAAAGGTTTATTCAGTTTGTTGAGAGTGACTGGAAGTGAGACTTCAGGGATGGAGGTGGGTTTGGTGGTGTATGCCTGTAATCTCAGTGACTCGGGAGGCTGTGATAGGAGGATCACAAGTTTGAGGCCAGCCCCAGCAACTTAGCAAGGATCTATCTCAAAAGAAAAAGATCTGGGGATATAGCTCAGTGGTAAAGGGCCTTTGAGTTCAATCCCCAGTAACCCTTCCCCCTCAAATGTTCAGGAATGTTCTGAGTATTAAATATGTTTATTTAGTTTATAAGTGTCAGTAGAGAATGAATAACTGCAAGAGGGCATTAGGGAGTTCTTTAAGAGTTCTAGAATGTTGTAGGTTAAGCTTGTTGATGATTTATGAGTTTATTTTTAGCAACTGGATAATACTTTCTTTGTGAATATTCCATAATTTAATCTTCAATTGATTGTCATTTATGTTCTTTATTATTTATTAGTATACACAAATAAACATTCCTATATGTTTGTTTGCCCTGAAAGTATTTCTGCAGGAGAGATTCTTAGAAGTGATAAATTTCAAGGTCAAAGGGTATACATTTTACTCATTATTTTCCTTTTGGAAAGTTAAGACAGTATAAAAAATTCTAACAGCAAAACGGGTATACAGGGAAAAGTTAGTTTTCCTCCTATTTTTTTTTTTTTTTTTTGGTACTGGGCATTGAACTCAGGGGCACTCGACCACTGAACCACATCCCCAGCCCTGTTTTGTGTTTTATTTAGAGACAGGGTCTTACTGAGTTGCTTAGTGCCTCACTTTTGCTGAGAGTGGCTTGGAACTCCCGATCCTCCTGTCTCAGCCTCCCAAGCCACTGAGATTACAGGCGCACACCACTGTGCCTGGCTAGTTTTCCTCCTATTCTTGACCCCCTCCCAGACCTATCAGATCCTTCCTTGGAAGCAAACAGTGTTATAAGAGTCTGGCAAGTTCTTACAGAGATAGTCTATGCATTGCATATGCAGTTATATATTTTTATAGGCACTGCTGAAAGCCATCTTTCCACCCTACCAAGATTGTACCAATATATAATCTCGCCAGTAGGATATAAGTTTCCTATCCTTTCAAGAGATGATTCCAGGGTTTTGGAAAGATTTGAGAAAAGAACAGATTTTATTCATTCATTCTTTGGAAATACATGCTTCAAAATTCAAAAGATACAGAAGGTCTCCCTCCCCACCTTTATTCCCCAGCAACAATGGCTCCTCTCCCCCAAAGCAATTGTTTTCAGTTCTTGTGCACCCTTACAGAAAAGTTTACATGTGTGAAAAGTCTATATATTCTCTTTCCTAAAATTTTACACGAATGGTAGCATATTTGTGTGAGCCATTACAGCATAACCTCTTCCTAACTTTTTCCCCTCAAAATCACAAGTTACTTAAAATAGCAATTGTGCATTTTTTCTCATGAGTCTGTGGGTAAGCTGGATGGTCCTACTGTTGAGGGCCAGGGTCAGCTGATGATCTTAGCCAATTAGTTGATAAATCATTTGGGGGCTGGTTTGTCTAGAATGACTTCAGCCAGGATTAGCCAGCTCTACTCCATAGGGTCTCAGCCTCCAGCAGTCTAGGCTGAGCTTGTTCTCATTGTGATGTCAGGGTTCCACAAGAACAGAAGAAGCACACACAAGGCCTCTGGAGGCCTATTCTATTGTCCAAAAGCAAGTCACAAGCTAGCCCAGATTCAAGGGATGCCAGGACTACAAAGTTTTGGAGGGTTAATTAAGAGGGAAAGAACCAGCACCATTTACTCCTTCAAATACAATAGGTTTTTCCCTTTTTCCTGTACCTTAATTTTTTTTACCTAATACTGAGCCTTGGAAATTATTTTATAGTTCACAAAGGATTTCTTCGATTTTTTTAAAAAATATTTTTTAGTTGTAGTTGGACACAATACCTTTATTTTTATTTATTTATTTTTATGTGGTGCTGAGGATCGGACTCAGCACCTTGCACATGCTAGGTGAGCACTCTACCACTGAGCCACAACCCCAGACCCAGCTTTTTCATATATATATATATATATATATATATATATATTTTAAATTTAGTTGTAGATGGACACAATACCTTTATTTTATTTGTTTATTTTTATTTGGTGTGGGGGATTGAACCCAGAGCACCTCACACATGCTAGGCCAGTGCTCTACCACTGAGCCACAACCCTGTCCTCTCCATTTCATTTTTTAAATATTTTTTAGTTGTTGATGGACTTTTATTTTCTTTATTTGTTTATATACAGTGATGAGATTCAAACCCAGTGCCTCACACGTGGTAGGTAAGTGCTCTACCCTGAGCCATAGCCCTAGCCCTCCATTTTATTTTGATAATCTCCTAATGAAGGAAATTTATATTGCTCTCAAGCTTTTGCTTTTGTCTAACAATGTTGTAATTAGTAGCTTTGAACATATGTCAGATAAATTCTAAAAGCAAAAGAACCAGGTCAATGGGCGTGTGTTTATAATGTTGATAGATATTTTCAAATTTAATTTTAATTTTTTATCCTTTTAGTTAGAAACATGTCAAATCTAAGCTGGGTGTGGTGGCACATGCCTATAATCCCAGCGGTCGGGGAGGCTGAGACAGGAGAATTTCGAGTTCAAATCCAGCCTCAGCAAAAGTGAGGAGCTAAGCAACTCAGTGAGACCCTGTCTCTAAATAAAATACAAAATAGGGCTGGGGATGTGGCTCAGTGGTCAAATACCCCTGAGTTCAATCCCCCGTACTCTTTCCCCAAAAACATGTCAAACCTATATAAACGTTGAAAGAATAATATAATAAGCACCCATATATGCTTCATCAAGCTTAAATACTTGTTAATATTTTGCCACATTTATTCTCTTCCCCATATATATCACAATATACATCACATGCTATGTAGGTATACATAGTTTATGTACCATTTGAAATTAAATTGCAGATCAAGACAGTTTTTCAGCTTGTATTGCCTAAAAGCAAGTGTTTGCCTACATAATCACAATATCATTAGCATACCTAATAAATTTAAGATTGACATTCACAGCCTGTATTCATATTGTTCAAATTATCCCAATAATTAATATTCTTTTTTAAAAAAATTTTTGGGGGTGTAGTGAGTATTGAGCCCAGAGGTGCTCTATCACTGAGCTACATTTCCAGTTCTTTTTGTTTTTAGACAGGGTCTCTCTGAATTGTCCAGGCTGATCTGGAATTTGCAATCCTGCAGTTTTAGCCTCCCAGGTTACTGGGATTACAGGTGTGAGCCACTATACCTGGCTGCCCCAATAATTTTTTTTTGTACTGGCAGTTGAACCCAGGCCATTGAGATGATCACTGTCCTTTTTATTTTTTATTTCAAGGCAGGGTCTCGTTAAGCTGCTGAGGGTCTCACTAATTGCTGAGTCTGGCTTCACACTTGTGATCCTCCTGTCTCAGCTTTCCAAATTGCTGGGATTACAGATATGCACCATTGCACCTGGCTGTCCCAGTAATTTTCTTTATGCCTTTTTTTTAAATTGAGGAGCCAAAATTCGGGATCAAAGTCATACAAGTACATTTACTTACCATGTGTCCAGTTTTATTTTATACAGAACAGGTTCCTACTTTTTTCTCCCATCTTTCATGAAGTAATCATTTTCAAGAGTCTGGGCCAGTTGTCTTGTGTAATATCCTGTAATTTGGATTTGTCACATTGTTTTTTCATCATGATTAGAGTCAAGTTAAACACTTTTGGCAAGAATACCACATTGGTGATTCCCATTGCATCACATCAGGAGGTTAATTTGTCCCAATTGTGATGCCAAGTTTGATCACTTAGTTAAGGTGGTATCCTCCAGATTTTTATTGTAAGGGTATCCTTTCTCTCTTTGTAATTAGTATCATAGTAATGTTAGAAAGTTATTGTTACTGTATAAGTGTCCTGTTGCCCAATAAGTTTCACCCATTTTACATTTTGACCCCCTACCTGAATCTTTTTTTTTTTTTTAAGATGGTGGTATTTTCTTAGTTCTGTCATTCCTTCCACATTTACTAGGTAACACTTTTCCATTAAGAAAGATGACCCCCATCTTTTTCCATATCACTTCAAATTTATAAAAATTATTCAACCAGGTTATAACATTGATTTATTGTGCTATAACACATTGAATGATGTACTGGTGCATGAATAGACAGACCAATGGAATAAATCTGAAAGTTCAGAAATAGTCTCAAGTATATATGAAAAGTTAATATGTAATAAACGTATACCCAAATCATTTGACAAAGATGAACTTTTTAGTAGGGTGGTAACTGGAATTGAACTCAGGAACAGTCAAACACTGAACCACATTCCAAGCCCTATTTTCTATTTATTTAGAGACAGAGTCTCACTGAGTTACTTAGTGCCTCGCCATTGCTGAGACTGGCTTTGAACTTGCCATCCTCCTGTCTTAGCCTCCTGAGTGGCTAGGATTTCAGGCATGTGCTACTGTGCCCGGCAAAGGTGAACTTTTTTTTTAATATTTATTTTTTTTAGTTATAGGTGGGCCCAAGACTTTTATTTTAAGTGGTGCTGAGGATCGAACCCAGTGCCTCACACATGCTAGGCAAGAGCTCTATCTCTGAGCCACAACCCCAGCCCAATGATGAACTTTTTTTTTAATATTTATTTTTTAGAAGTAGTTATTTTGTTTATTTATTTTTATGTGGTGCTGAGGATCGAACCCAGGGCCTCTAACGTGCTAGACTAGCACTCTATTGCTGAGCCACAATCCCAGCCCTCTAATGATGAACTTTTTTTAAAAAAAACATAGTAGAAGCTCTTTTTTAATATTTATTTTTTAGTTTTAGGTGGACACAATATCTTTATTTTATTTTTATGTGGTGTCGAGGATCAAACCCAGTGCCTCGTGCATGCCAGGTGGGTGCGCTACCACTTGAGCCACATCCCCAGCCCTAATGATGAGCTTTTTAATGGATGCTATTAGGATAATTGGATAGTCATTTGTATTATTTGGTGTTCCATACTTCACATCATACCCTGAAATGGATCCTAAAATGGTTATGCATGTAAAAATGAGAATTATATAAATCCTAGGAGAAAATTTAAATTAATTTCTTTATTATTTAAAAAAATTTCAGTTATTGATGGACCTTTATTATATGTGGTGCTGAGAATTGAACCCAGTGCCTCACACATGCTAGAGAAGTGCTCTACCACCGAGCCACAACCCCAGCCCAATTAATTTCTTATAAAAGTATACAAATCACTTAAATTAAGTACATAGGGGCTGGGGTTGTGGCTCAGTGGTAGAGCGCTTGCCTAGCATGCATGAGGCACTAGGTTCAATCCCTGCCACCCTATAAATAATAAATAAAATAAAAGTATTGTGTCCATCTACAACTAAAAAAAGTATTTTTAAAAACCCACTCCACATAATAAGAAATGTGAATATATTTTAAGCACAGTAACTTTGACCATCTGGATCACTCAGGAGGATGGGCAGTGTCAAATTAGGTTGTCCCATTAGGCACTTCTGAATCTCCCTAGGTGTCCCTTTTATGGCCCTTATGCTACTTATAATTATAGTATTTGTTAAATGTCTGTCTTCAATATTACATTATCATATGTATGAGGAGTAACCAAGACTACCGTGTTCATGCTAGTATCCCCTGCTTTGTGTACAAAATGACTGCTCAATTAACATTTGCAGAATGAATGATTAAATTACTGTCTCTTTACATTCACCAATGCAACTTGCCACTTAAGAGTTGAATAAATGAATGAATGAATAACATGGAGGCAAGGAGTCGTCTAGATTCAGATTTCTTTACTTCCACCTCCTTCGCTACTCTTAATTCTTGTCCAGTTTCCATACCACAATCTCTCTCCTAGTTTTCTTTCCTAATTTTATTTTGTTTCTGTTTGTTAACTAAAGTAAAACTTTCAGCAAAGCCCGTATGCATAAAATTTATACCTAGATCAAAACTTGAGGTGCAAGTTTCAAAATGAAATTAGATGTTTGCATATAAATTGCTTGAAAATGTCTTGCTTTCTTATCTTATTCTATATGTGTCTTACGCACCAAAACAAGAACATGGAGAAATAATTTATCATTAAAATCATTCCAACATTTGTTTTCTATTATTGCTAAAACTACTTCCTAGGATTTCATTGCAAACCTACAGTATTTTAGCTTCACTTTTGTGAATTAACTTGGAACTCTTTTATAACTTTGTTTCTTTAAGAAAATGCATCGTAGACACCAGTAAATGTTTGAAATAGGACGCACTTTGTGAATTGGGAGACTGTGTGTTTATGAGTGCCTGTTGATTGGAATTGTTATTGAGCCTGTAAGCAATTGTTTTTTTTTTTTTTTTTTACCACTAGAAATTCCTGATGTTTTTCTGTTACAATTAATTTTCCACATATAGAGTAAGCCGATTTTATATGTTGATTTTTTGACATCAGAAGTTACATGAGTTACTTGATTTCATAAGCCGAGTGAAAACATGCCTTTCCCTAGACCGTCATTATAAAAGGAGGCTCTGGGTAGTATATCCTGTTTTCCCAAATACTGTAATTATAAATTGGTCCAATAAACATTACTTTGAAATTTTGCTCAGTTGAAAGGCACCATGGAAAAATCACATGTATTAGAGCATGTTGAATCTGCAACATATTTTGGAGTTTCAATAGCCTTTATAACATTTTATAGAGTCCCCCACCACCATGGCTTTGATAAATGTTGAGTACAAATTTGAATTGGGACAACTAAGTTTGGGTCAAAATTTAGGTAGCAATCTTTGAATAACTTATTATAAAAGCACTATATATGCCAATTGAAGAATATATGAAAAGTAATGGAAGATAGAAAAAAAGAACAGTTTTAAAGTGAAAATAAAAATCAACATAATTACACCAGGCAGAGACAGCTGTGTGTTTGTGGAATTTTCTACATAATTAAGCATATACTCAATATGCAATATTTCCTTCTTTGCAAAGCACATAAATATTCAGAATATTATTTTAAGAAGTACATTGCCATTCAAGGCATTTAAGTTTTGTGGGTTAGCACAGTACTAAGATGAATGGTTTGAGAATTCTGAGTCTCGAAATCAAGTCATAAGAAGCCCTGTTCCAGTTACCTGCAGATGTCAGTGTGGATCTGAGTGTGAGTCAACAGTTTGTTCCAGGATGTGGTGGGACAGTTGAAGTCTAGTCGTGAAACAGTGGTTGATTTTTCATTTTTATTTTTTTAAACCAGTCGTTTATTAAACAAACACCAGTTCCTAATTAGACGAGAAATATGAGCTGTA